AGGAAGTGACAAGCACACATCTGGTTTAAAAGGACATTTATTGGGGATTCCCACTCACATTAAGTATTTGGACCTGAAATTTTCCTCACCAAAACACTGACAGCAGCTTTAATTAGCACAATTTTTAACTTAACAAACCAACTTGAGGGACAATCCTGCTGCATGTATTTCCTGTGTTTATACATCCCAGTTTGGAGACTGCTGTCTTTGGTTGTATGTTACCTTTATTGTTTAAATCCTCCTGGGCGCTATAATCCACTGTTCTGTGTGTGTTTACATGTTTGTCTATCTGTATGGGCTTGTATCACGAGTGTGTGCGCGCACGTTTGTGTCTGCAGCCATAAGTTAGCGAGTGTGTGTTGGTGTATGGTCCCTCGGTGGCTGTTCCCCCCGCTGTATAGACGCCTGTTCTGGCGATAGCATTGTCTCCATGTCCAAAGACCTGCCGGCTGCCCTATTTCACCACGTCTTTATCATGCTAATACAGAGAAAGAAGGAACAAGGGAGGAGGGAGAGGCGAAGAGAGAGACGGGAGAGGGAACGATAGCTCGACAAACAGAAAGAAGGGGTAATCTTCCCCTCCTCTCTCCATCCTCGTCTCTCCGTTCTCACCACCTCCTCCGTTCTCTCTATCCGTCTTTACTTCCCTTTCTTCTCGTCCCCGCACCCTCTTCATCTGCCGCTTTCTTATCTTCCCCCTTACTTCTTTGATAATCCCTCCGAACATTGTCTTCATAATTACACACAACAATGATTCCCATCCTTGCAAGAGAAATGTGCGCTGTGCATGGAGAATATTTCATAGATGAAGACCAGTGTGTGAATTAATAACTTGAGTTTCTCATATAGGGTTCCTACCATGTCTTTGTGTGTGTGTGTGTGTGTGTGTGTGTGTGTGTGTCTGTGTGTGTTTAAAGGGGGAGCACACAGAGCCCAGTGTTGTTTTAACACGACTGTTACATTATGCATGCTGACAGCCCTGCCTGTCCCCATTAAAGGCCCATCTTGTTTCCCCATTATATCTGGTTTCTCTGTTAATAGAGCTCTTTGTATGGCACTTCCTTTTATACTGGGGGTGTTACAACAGAAAGGTCAGCACCGGTATAACCTGCCACACGGCTGCGGCTCGCACGAGAACCAGAATATCAATGACTGCATAGTCCTCTCATAACAGTTCTGATTTTGGAAGAAGGAATGTTCGGATACTTTGACGTTCTTGTGTCTGTCTTTCTTAATTGTTTGCTTTTTGAATCCGTAACTAATTGCATCATCTGTGTTAATGAATAGTTTATTACTGCATTATAGATAAGTATTAGTAACCAAAAAAGGGCACTGTTTGAAAGACCCCAATAATGAGATCTCTATCTTCCAAAGATGTAGAAAGTAGCTTAGTTTGCTAAGTACATGGATGGTGGAGTTTACAAAGCACAATGTTTTGACACCAGATGGATTCTTTTGATCCATTCAATAAAACTGTTACCATGAGACAGACTGTAATCTGCAAAGTCTGTTTTTATTTTTATTTTCACCCTTTATTGAGATATTCCTGAGGTAAACATCATAAATATATTGTTCTCATCTCACAGAAATCCTTGCAGCCACTGGTCATCTGATTATGAGGCTTAGCTGAATGGCTTTATTTACCTTGTATTACATAATGCAGTTTCAAAACTGAACCAAATGAAACCTTGCGATCTGTCTGCTGCTTTGGCCAGTCGCTCACATGTAATGCTCATTCTTAGTGGATTATTTGGTGATGTGTTTATTTTGCTGCTCTCACAAGACATCCATTGAATTACTGCCTTTTGTTTATATATCCCTGTCAGCTAATCAGGTTGCAGGACACATCCATGCATGTCCAGATTTGACCTTTGACCTTTATATTCAAACAGTCAGTACTTCATTTTTTCCTCCTAGACATCTGTGTTAAATTTTAGCTTGGTTAGTTATATCGGCTGTGGAATATGAAATCCTCTCCTAAGCTCTGAGTTTTAGCATTTTGGTTACGGTTACGTCCGTGTTTTGAGCCAGAGGTGAGCATGTTTGCTAAGATACTAGTCGGGCAGGTTGGTGACCCCTTGGAAAAATGTGTGTTCCCTGATCGATTGGTGAGTGGTTGCTGACTGTTGATGATCGATGATGAGTCATAAAAACCAATGCTACACCAAAAACCTTCCTTTGGTTGCTAGGAGATTGCCACAGTTGCCCATAGTTCACATGGAAATGAAAAACTGCAAACACATGCTAACTAACCCCTCAGCGGCAGCAAAACCTGAAGTTTCAGATTCCTGAAATGCAACGCAAACCAGAAATCAAGAGCTTTTGTCTTCAAAGTGAAATCGGCGTCTTACCGCTGACAACAAGACATTACCAAAAAGCCCAATTTTTTCGTTGAAGGTGAAAATTCTCCACCCCTGCTTTGCATTGCAAACTTTGAGTTTGGTTACAGCGACCAAACCAAGTCATAGCAGATTTTCTCTTTGTGACTAATCTCACCTAGTGACAGGAAGCAACCTCCAGCAACAACTTGGACCTGATTGGGGAATTACTCATGTGTCCCTTGTGACCAGGGTTTGCCAAGCAGTCAACAAGTGGTTTCTAGGCTTGTGAGACTGGGGCCTAATTAGTGTGAACATATTTAGAATTTCCTTCACCAAACTCGAGTGCAGACCTCTTGGTTGGGTTGGTACCCAATTTCCTTCGGGGTCACCCTTCAGGATCAATAAAATTTTATTGAATTGAATTGAATTGAATTGAATTGAATTGAATTGAATTGAATTGAATTGAATTAAATTGGTGGACATAATGTGGAAGGTGGGCTATTAACAGTGAAATAATGTCTGTAACTCAAATAAGCTGAGGTGATAACTGGCATACAACTTTACAGCCATTTTTTGTTGTACTGCAATGTTGACTTTTTGCTGTACAGTTGGGTGTTTTGACACTGGAGTCCGTTGGGATTTACCAACTTTTGGAGCCACTCTCTTGTCCATCTTCTTTGTGAGTATGATTTCTACTCCTGTATTTTTTAGGTTGTGACCAAAAACATGTCTTGGGTCCATGACCTTTGACCTCCAAAATATAACCAATTCATCTCTGAGTACAAGTGAACTGTGGTTTTTGTTAGTGATTGTGATATTTTTGTCATTTTCCCCACATCCACAGAGGGTTTTTTTTAACTGCATTGAAGCACCAAAACAATTCCCACAAAATCTTTATCGTGCTTTATTTTGTCTGCAGCCATCATTGCAGAATAAATATAGGAACTATATTCATAGCACACAGAATATAAATGTATCCATGTTACACTGTAGAAAAAAAGAAAACAAAAAAAAGATCTGCTTGTGCAGGCTTGATAATACTGTAATATTGTGGAGGAAGAGCCTTTTATTAATCATTCACTAACATCCCTCCATCTGGAGCAAAATTCTTATAACTCTTTATTATCTCCTGTTATAAATGTTTCCTCCATCCATCTGCTGATTTCATCAGTCACGCGATGAACAGATAAAATATGATACATTACATGTAAAATTACCGAGAGGGATAAATCTTTCCTTGTTTTCGCTCTCGTAATTCTTTGGGTTCGAGGCGCGTTTGAACGCGATTTCCTTCCAAAATCCTGTCACAACAAGAAAAATGCAGCACAAAGTACCCTAGCCTGTGTGATTATATTTGCATCAAATCCATCAAGTGGTTTAATCTATCTACTACTTAGAAATCCTCCATCACTGCGGCGACTGGAAATGACTTCATTATAATAACTGCATGAAATTATATCCTGCTCCTGAAGCCATCTTTTCCCTTCCTTCCCTTCTTCTGCCCTCCCTCCCCCATTCGTGGCAC